GTATGTGCAAGAAATCCCCTGAACTATAAAAGTTACAAAAAAACCCTGTGAACTATTGGGTTATGTGCAAGAAACCCCCCTTAACTATGTATTTTTTTGCAGTTTACCCCATCCGGCGACGCGCGTGCTTATCACATGACACAAAATATTATACTAAATGACCAAAACACCCTTATACATGTAAAAAGACTTTAATACCCTTCTTCCAACTGTTAACCCCAAACATCTCCTAATCTCTATTTCAGTTTCTCTTCCTCTTCATTTTGTTCGTATAGTTCTTCCCAAAAAATCCTAAGTCATTCTTTCTCTATATATACCCACAAATTTTACTACTGCAATTAAGCTAAGAAACACAAAAATGCATGTGATTGCTGAGAATAATCAATCAATCGAAGAGAGAGAACGAAGAGATCTTGTGGCCGCGTGAATTGATTGACTGAAAGGGACGATGAAGCCGAGCACACCGTCGTCCGTGTTTCGAGCACACAGCCGTCAACAGTTCATCGCCGAGCCCCCTTGAGCTCGCCGCTGCCTCCATAGTTCACGGCCGAGCTCTCATCACAGCCGAGTCCTCCGCGCACAAGCCGCCATCATCTGAGACCGAGCCATCCTGCCGACCTCGGATTTCCTTGGTCTCTTCTCTCTCTCTCTTTAGCTCTCTGTTTTGGGTTGTGTTGGGTGAAAAATATTTTTTGGCAGAAAAAAATAAATAAATAAATAAATGTAAGAAGTGTATAAGTTAAAACGACGCAGTGTGTTATAAGGGTATGGTCTTTCAAAATTTTCGGTGCCGGAAGCTGATGTTATGAGGGTAAATTGTAACAAAATCATAGTTCAGGGGGGTTTTTTGTATTTCAAGGGGGTTTCTTGCAAATAACCAATAGTTCAAGGGGGTAAATTGCAACAAAATCATAGTTCAGGGGAATTTTTTATAGTTCAGGGGGCTTCTTGCAGATGACTAATAGTTCAACGGGGTTTAATACACTTTATCCTAATTTTTATTATATAATGATCTTATCTTAGCCCGCGCACACCCAAAAGAAAAAAAAAAAAAAAGGGTCTAAAATGGTTTAAAGGATTTTAAGAGGACAGCAAAAAGTGTTCGACTCACTTAGATGTGGTCATTTTAGGATAGGCCCAATTAACGTGTGAAGTGTTTTGTGCACAATGATCCCGTTACTTTTAAAAGTAAGCAGTATTAATCCCTAATTTTTCAAAAAATATGCATATCGGTCTATATTTTTTTAAAAAAATTGTGCAGCCATGGACCAATTTTTGCTAAATACCAGTTTTGCCTTTTTTCCCATCTCGTCTTGCCCCTCTCGCATTATGTATATTAAACCCCACTCCCTACCCATTTTCTTACGCCACTTCTCTCTCTCTCTCAGACCATCTCCTGAATTTAGACTTTTTGTGATCCCGTTTTTGGCTTATCATGGTTAAGATTGGCTTGGATCTGTCCTACCCATTCCAGCACTTGGAAAAGATGCGGCTTCGAATAGGTGTAATAAGGGATCAAGACATGGGTGTTTGGATGTTTGGTTTACTCTTGTTCTAGATCGTCATTTTACATTCTTGGTATTTTTGTATATTATTTTATTATATTGATACGAGAGCATTAGAGTCATCTTAAGCGGAAATAAAGTATTTGTACTAAATTAAAAGTAGATGAATGTTTTTATATTACGGGTTGTTTTTTATTTTTTTTTTTATTTTTTATTTTTTTGGCACTAAACCCTAAAAACAAAATAGTAAGCATACAGAGCTACCTTGCTTTGGACATAGGGCTGACCTGGTCCGGGTATCGAATCCTAATCATCAGTTCATCACCCAGATGAAAGAGAATAAGTACTTAAATATTCAGTTTACCATTCAAACAAAAAAAAAATACTTAAATATTCTCTTACATCACTCCGTTTTTATCGGTCTGAAAAAATAAATGATCTATTGTTGATGTATCTACCAGATATTACTTGAGGATTAAATTCGTGATGAAACAAAATTTTATTTCATACCAGGCTGATTTTGTTGGGAATGACTTTTTTCATTTTATAATTAAGGAATAAGTACAAAAAACATTCCTAAAGGTTGAAGTATATCTTTCATAACACTTTTATCTTCTATTTAAAAATGTGTATAAAAAATACCCTTATTTTTTTTTAATTTATACAAAAATATCCCTCAATTAATATAATATTCATTTTACTATTTTACTTTTTAAAATATGTTCCTACCAACCAAATTGAAAAGAATATGAGATGGAGGTAATATATTTTTAGAAATAAAATACTTTTAAATGACATCTAGGTACTACGACAAATTACAAGTCTATTATACTAAAGTTAAAAGATCACGTTAATAATGGTCTTTAGACTTTCTTTTGTCTTTTCTTTAGTATAGTAGTATACTGTTAAAGCCTTAGAGGTCGCCAGCGTGCATTACATTTTAAAAAAAGTAAAAATAAAAATTGACTTAATTGGAACTGTAGTTTTTAAAAAACTTTAAATTAAAACTATTTTTTAAGTAATAAACTAAGCAAATTCTGAAACTTCACCCAATTCTAAACCACAAAATAGTTGCAATTTTAATTTCATTCCTTTTTTCTTTTTTTCCCTTCTCCTTCTAACATATTGTAATATTACAACTCAAATTGCAAATACTCTTAACTTCAAGTGTGTAACATCTTTTTCATACTTTTATAAATGTAAACATGAATTTTGATTGAAATTGACATATAGTCTATGATTATTTAATAATTTTTATTCATCCATCTGTCTTATGGGAGTAAAATTTCTCATCTATCTATTTTGAAATTTTAAGAAGATACCACTACTAATTCAACAATCTCTTACCCCTGTAATTGGGATAACAATTTTACAATTTTTTTTATGTTCGTTTCGAAGTAAAATATATATTTTATATCTTTATATTTTGCTATTTTAGCATTTGGTAAAAGGTTTAAGCCGAGGTCAAGGTTGAATTTATCGGATAAGGCATATAAAATAATTTAGTTAAAAATTAATGAATAAATTATTTTTGTTAAATTTTAATATATTATTTTCGTAAATATTTTACGACAATCAAGCATAAAAAAGTTACAAAACAAAAAATATTAATATTTTTTATTTTTATATTTTAGTATTTGACAAAGGTTTAGACCCAGACAAAGATCCAGTTTATCAAATAAGGCATATAAAATAACTTAAATGAAAATTGATAGAATAAATTATTTTTATTAAATTTTAATAATTTTTTTTATTTTACGATAACCAAATATTAAAAAATATATATATATATACAAAACAAAAAATATTTTAACCTCAAACAACGAATTCAAAATCAAGCAAAAGCGTAGAAGCTTCGCCATTTTGAGAATATGAATGAATGTGTCTTCAAATGATGACAACATTTAAAGTTGAAATAATTAAAATATATTATTCTTTCTGTAACAGGCCATGTAATTTGACTATTGAGGCTCTAGGTACCCATTGAGATCTTCAAACTTGAGCACTCCCACAAATCTTTTTTCGAGAAACTTTCATTAATAAATATAACTCATTAATCCCCCGACAAAGAAATCTTGATTAATTAGAGTTTTTCGTGAGATTATTTATTTTGTGAATTTCTAGAACTCAAGACTTATTTTAAAATTTTATTTAGACCGTGCTTATTTAACTGAAGAAAGCTAAACATTCGAGTGGAGAGGTTTTTATTTTTTCTTCATTCTTTGCAGAGTAAAATTGGACTCTTTGATTACTTTTTTTTTATTTATCATGGAAACTAAATTTGTATAAATATATTAAGAAATTAGCATGTTGGGAGATGTATTGGATTTAACTGATTTATGCAGTTGTTGAATATTAAGAAATTAGGGCATATGGTTGATTAACAAGTGAATTACTATAAAAATGCACATAAAAAACTTTCCAGTTTGTACATTAATTCATTTTTGTCACGGGCATCAAACTCTCAATTGCTAAGAAACAGTTCTTCTCCAAAAAATAAATAAATAATAATGATAATAATAATAATAATAATAATAATAACACACATAGTAAAATTTAGTTTTTGGTAAAATAGAATGGGGTCCAATGCTGCTCTATATATGACAACACATAAACCAAAAAAAAAAAAAAAAAAGAATTATATACTTTATTGTTCAACACATGCTCTCACTGTGCGGTGCAATAATTGTATTTTATAGTCTTTGTTAGAAAAATTAAAGGGTGCCGTTTGGGAATTTTGGAATCATCTACGGTACAGCATCTCACATATGTGTTGTGAGTGAGGGAGGGGTATCTGGTTGTTATTAAACAAAAATCAAAACCAATTCGCATTCCTATGAGTTCATAAAATTTAAGGTCAAAAAAAAAAAAAAAAAATAGTTTATAAAATTTGAAATCAATAAATTGATCCAATTCACGGATTGGGTTTACACTTTCATAATCATTAAATTTCAAATAACAAAATTTCACATTAAATTTCAATTCAATGAATGGTAATTTATTAAATTTCAGTCATTTAAATAGTTATACGATTGATATAGCAAGAAGAAATTGAACAAGAAAACAAGAGTATTGTATTTGAAGATAACGCATCGAATCAGTTTTTGAAACTCAAATACATGATTCGATTAGATTCATACGAATTTTTTATTTATAAATACGTCAATAAAAGTAATACAAACAGTACGAAATCCAATGAACAACTCTATTGTGAGCCATACGACCAGGAGGATCCGGAGTACATGCAGAAATTAAAAAACCTAAAAGCATGCATCTGTAATCTGTTACTTCTTTAATGATTTTTTTTCTGTTTGGTGGGGGTCACCAATCATTTTTCGTTCTGTTACTTTGATAGGCTGGCGAATGTAACAAGAATTAAATAAACTGACCAAACAAAATAAATAAAATAGAAATGAAAAGAGAATAAAAAGGGGAATAATACTATTATAGTATATATAAAAGGAAGGAAATTGATGAAAATGGCTTTATGGGGAAGGCAATGTCCACACCACTCCTCTTCCAATCAAAGATCCTCTGTTTCTCTCTCCTCTACCTCTTCTCCTCTCTCTTCCTCGCTCTCTATTTTGCCATCTCCCCTACCAAATGCCTCTTCCGATCATCCCCATTTGATCCCATTCAGGCCCCTCTCTTCTCTTACCCTCATTCTTATGGAGAGCACAAATATGCCATCCCTACCCTTCGCTCTTCTTGCGATTCCCCTGTTTACTTCTCAGGTACCTAATACCCCTCTGATTCTCATCCATTAAAAAAAAAAAAAAAAAAATTTAATTCCATTCAATTATGGTTTTTGATTAATGGGTTTTGTTTGTTTGATCAGATTATTGGATGGTTTTGAAGGAAATTCAAAATTTTTGTCAGAATTCGTCGTATGGTTCACAGATTTTGAGGTATATGCAGGGGACAGCTGATAGCTTTGGTGGGAATTTCAGTACCCAGAAGAGGATTTCTTTTTTCAATCATCAAGATGATGAAATCGAGATTCCCTGTGGATTCTTTAAGAAATTTCCTATCTCAAACTCTGGTTAGTTATATGTATCATAATTCTCAACTTTTGTCTTTCTTATACATGTTTGGAATTCTCATGAATTCGATAGAGAACCGCTTGAATTATCAATCTTCAGAACTGCAACTGAAGTTACTTCAGTTATTGAACTGGAAATGACATTACAGTTTTTTTTGGAAATTTTATAATCCAGAATAAAGTTTTTTCTAGGAATGTTTTTCTGATATCTCAGTGTAGTTTGGTTTGTAGTAAATTTTAATGTGGTTTAAATGTTTCGATCTTATTGTTTATGTGTAATGCAGATCGAATTGCGATGGAAAAATGTAATGGAGTTGTTGTAGTCTCAGCAAATTTTGGTGACCATGACAAAATCCGGCAGCCGAAAGTCCTTGGATCCAAAACCCTAGATATTGTTTGTTTCTTTATGTTTGTAGATGAAATCACTCTAAAAGGACTTGCCTATCACAATTTAATTTCAAGAAAATCCAAGGAATATAAAATAGGTGCATGGAGAATTGTAAAGATCTCAACGGAGCAGTTATATGAGAATGCAGCTATGAATGGGGTGATACCTAAATTCTTAGTTCATAGACTCTTTCCAAACTCGAAATACAGTATTTGGATAGACGGAAAGTTGCAGCTAGTGATTGATCCACTGTTGTTGATTCATTCTCTTATTATTTCGGAGAATGTGGATATGGCTATGTCTAGGCATCCATTCTACATTCATACTATGGAAGAAGCGATGGCGACTGCAAGGTGGAACAAATGGTGGGATGTTGATTCGTTGAAGACACAGATGGAGACATATTGTGAGAACGGATTGCAGCCATGGACACCCGAAAAGCTCCCTTATACAACAGGTATGAACATATATAATAAAATCACAAATCTATGTTACTATGTTCTTTTGATTTTAATTCAGAAAATGCTCATCTGAAAACTATTTGGAATTAAATCATTCAACTTGATCTTCCTCCACTCAAAAAAACTATCATATGAAACCTACACTATACTAGGAGACACAACTGATCATTCATTTTATATGCTTTGATTTTAAAAGGGTATACCTAATTTTGATTCCATGCCACTATAATTGTTGATGAAGCTACTCTATTAAAGAAGATGAGCTGTGATTTTTTATTATTATTATTATTATCATCATCATCATCGTTGGGGATGAGTAATGTAAAAATTTATGATAATTAGATGCCTTTAATGACTACTTCATTGAAATAAGTTCTCCTACAACATACTGTGAATCCAAACATGGAGTTGTCTTGGTTTAGAAGCTATCTGAAATGATGACTTTTTTCTATACTAAAAGACCCGTGTTGTCTTCTCTTTTGAAGCTTATATATTATATTTAATGGTAGGCCCCAACCTTATGAGTGCTCTTTTGAATCCATTTAGAGTCTTACTGAAGTAACATCCTACTTAATCAATTATTCCCAATCTACTTGTATTCCACTAATTACCAAAGTAGGTATCTTATATTAAGATCTTGCTCTCTGGTAAGTTTCAATCTGAGGAAGGTTAGGTTATCTTAGAGTTGAAAGAACATGCTAGTGTCCTCACGGATGATGCTAGTTAAGAATCCGAATTTTTTACAGTATAACACGCGTACTATACTACTGTGGATGGTCTGACTCTTACACCCTCTCAGTGTAGCAAGTGAGTTTCTTGTTGTGTCAATTGAGTTGTTTCTTGATTAATTCTTATACCCTCTCAATGCAGATGTACCAGATAGTGCTTTAATACTAAGGAAGCATAGTGTGGCCAACAATATTTTCTCCTGCCTAATGTTCAATGAATTGGAAGCTTTCAACCCAAGAGATCAACTGCCATTTGCATATGTAAGAGACCTCATGAACCCTAAGATGAAGATGAACTTGTTTGATGTGGAAGTGTTTGAACAAGTAGCAATTGAGTATAGACACAACATTAAAAATGTTGGGCCCACATCCAGGAAAGGGACCAAGACCAAGCGGGCAACCCCTGGTTTGTTTGTTAATGGTAGTTGTAGCAAGTGTGACAGGTATCTTTTAAAAATGTGGGGTGAATCCCATGATTGATTTTTGTCTCTTTGATTTTTTTTTTTTTTTTGCAAAAGCACTAGATTAAAAACAAAACTAACCAACCCAACTACCCTTCACAGAGAAAAGCTGACAAACAAGAACAAATTGGCATTGCCTTTTGGTACTGGGGGGATATTGTGATCTGGTGGGGTCAGCTCATCATGAGGTCCCGCAGACCCCTGAAGTGTCTGTCTTAGATTGGTTAAAATGGTAAAGAAGATCTTAACCCGAACACAATCCCACCTCATTGATAAAATATATTTTGTGAATGTCAAATAAGATCAGGTATAGAATGTTGGCCAGGTAGAAAACGAGGTGTGCGAGGGTGACAGAAATGTGAATGATAAGATTAAAGTTTGAAAAATATATATAAAAAAATGATATAATTAGAAATGATTACATTTGAGAGTTGGTTATAGTAACACAAATAGAAAGAAAATATATATATATTAGAGAATTACGTGCGATGCATGTGATTATAACTTAATCATATTTTGAGATATAATAAAATAGTAGAAAAATCTATAATGGAATTAAAATAATTGAATAAAAATAGTAAATTAATTTGGTTAATTCAAAATTTTAAATTATCATTCAATCATTCGTTCGAATACTATTTGACTATTAATCTCAAAGATAAATAAGGATTTAAAACTCACTAATTCAATCCTCTTCATACTTTTCATCATCTTCAAAATCTCTTTATGCAAAATTTTATGAAAACTCCAATATTCTTGCGGTATTTATTATCGAACAATTAAAGAATATAATTTTATTTCACAAAGCAATGAAAAAAACTATTGAATCAACTCTACAAGAAATTTATTATATAAAATCATATGATGTATTAGAATATGACAAACACTACATCATGACCAAACATTACTTGCAATAAAAATTTAATAATTATACCTATATGTCGTATATCTATTTTGTTTTTTTAATATATGACTGAATAGAATACAATATACATGATAACATATTATGTATATAGAGACCTATAAAGTTGTTCAAACAAAGTTGAAATTTATTTTTCAAACCGTTGAAATTCATTGAGAGTACGTATGTAAGAGGGTAGTAGATTTATATAAAAATATATATATATATGAAAGATAAATGAAAGGTTAAAAATAAATAAAAGATATTATATAAAGTAAGTATTACGATTTATTCATACATAGAATCTATAACGGTTAACTATCTCGTTTCTCTAAAAATGTTTGCTATTAAAAGTGTTTCTAAATTCATAAAAGGTATAAGATGCACTTATTTATTTCACTTAGTATAATGAAAAATAAAACTCCATGTTTCACTTTCACAACACTTCTTTTTATCCAATATCTTTTTCCAACACTCTAAATAAACACTTTTAATAAGTTTTTCTAAACGCCTCTACATTCTTATCCTAAATCTCCAACGAACATACTTCCAAAAATCTCTTCCAAATATAAAGACATTATATAACAGAATCATAAATATTTTGAAAAGAATTAGGCAAAGTAGAGAACTATATAACAGAATCATAAATATTTTGGAAAGAATTAGGCAAAGTAGAGAACGTATATGAAAGAACAATATTTCCTAGAGAATTAAACAAAAAAGGAATATAGAATTAGACAGAAAATCAACATGAAAAAATAAACACATTGTTATAACATAATATAAATAGAATAATTAAAACATTATAAAATAATAATAATCCAGTAAAATATCAATTAATAAAAGCATATTAGAATGAGACAGTAAGAAACTTATTTCGGCCTCTTGGAGAGTCAGGAGACTGAGGACAATTGTGACGTTGAATAACATTTATCAACTCTTTCATTTACATGTTGATCATAAATTCAAGATATATATATATATATATATATATATATATATATATATACATATATGTATCATGATATAGTATATTGGATGGACAAAAGAAGAAAGATTAGGAAAGAAACAAAGAGGAATGTGCAAAACATATATTGTTTTTATTGGACTACTATTTTATTTATAGGCTACAACACACCTATTCATGAAATAATAGGTCTGTTCAACTATAAAAAGTTTTTTACCATTAACTTTCTTCATAACCATTCATATTTATTTTTTTCCTAAATAACCATTCATATTTCAGTATACAAAGAGTAAATTAGGTAATTGAAATATTTCACGTATTTTTTTAATAATAATAATAATAAATTATACATAGAGAGGTGATATGTTTTAACTGGACAGAAAGTCTTTATGAAAAAAAAAAAGTGTTTAGTAGGAATAAGTGTGTGAATTTAAAAGAAACTCTTTTCTAAAAGAAAATAACTTGATAGGCAAAATATATAAAATAGAAAAGGTGTCTGGAGAGAGAGTGTGTGTGTGTGTTTTTTTCCGCTTTACAAACAGGTGCCAGTAGTTAAGGTAACTTTTCAAAAAAATTATTTTTCATATTAAAAATCTATCTAAAGGTGTAAAAGTGTATTGGCATGAATTATTATTTTTTATTAAAAAAAATAAATAGAAAGGTGATATATTTTAACCGCACATAAACTCTTTGATCATGAAAAAAAAAGGTGTTCAATATGAATAAGTGTATGAATTTAAAAGAAACTATTTTCTAAAAGAAGACAACTTGATAATCAAAATATATAAAATAGAATATTATCTAGAGAGTGTGTGTATTTTATTTTTATTTTTAGCTTTGCAAAGAGGTGCTAGTAGTTAAGTAGGTAACTTTCCAAAAAAAAAAAAATCATATTAAAAATCTAGCTAAAGGTGTAAAAGTGTATTGGCATGAAATATCAAAAAGCGTTAAAATCAGTTAAGAGTTTTAAAATGTATATATAGACTTTTTGATTGGGTGAGTTAAAATCGAAAGAGGATTTTTTGGTAACCCTTATTTTACTTTATTTTTCTTTATATCAATAACTTAAACAAAATGCAATTATATCCAAAACAAAACCTATGTTATGCTTAATATTTTTAGTTTAATCTGTATGTGTAAGAGTGTATTGGTAAATAATATAAAAAAGGTTATAAAAAAGGTTGAAATCCTATACGGTGCAACTTTTAGGAATTAAAAAGTGTACAACGTAAATTGCAAAGTTGAAAAGTCACGTCATAATATTTTTTACATTAAATTAAGTGTTTTAAAATGTATATAAATATTATAAATTGAATACACTTTTATAGGGTATATAGATATATATATATATTGTTTAAAATGGTATGGACATCTATTAAGAAGACATTTAAGTGTGACAGTTATGATAAGTGACATAGCCTATGTTAAGGATAATATTAGGAGAAGTAGAAGATCAAAGTCAACAAGTAAAATTAATAAGAAATTATATGATAATATGTGAATTGAACGAGGATATAACCCTAAGGAAGAATGAAATCCTAAGACAACTAGTTCACATTAAGGGTCAATCCCAAACAGTTTGAAAAAAGATTTAGTTGTCATTGTTGTGTCATGTAAGGTGGTTGACAAAGTTTATGAAAATTTAAAAATCCACTTCTCCGTGGTATTTTAGGCTTTATCAAGAAGTTGAGAAATATTATTGCAATCAGTTGTTGTTGCGGTGGTAGCTACTTTATTCCCCCTTAAAGTCAAATGTGATCTTTTTGTGTTGTGAGTGGAAGGTAAGAATTGAAATGTAACTCTGTCAACTAGGTTAAGTCTATTCTTTTTCCTTTTTCCCTCATCAACTCTATAGACTTTAATAACTTTACCATGGTACTATTTGATGGTTCAATTGAGTGGCACACCATGTGTAGGTGTGAGAAATTACTAGATGGTTTAGATCAATTCAATCGAAATTAAAGTTGAGATTTCTTTGTTATATATTAATGTATTCGATTTTGTGGAGCCATTTTCTAAATTGTAAGAGTTTAAGTTGAATTAGTTCACCAAGTAGGAGTGCAACCTGGGCGGGTTAGCCCGGCCCAACCGAACTCAGCCCAAAAATTTTAGAACTTGGATTTTTAAATTCTCAAATCGGGTTGGGTTTTGTCAAAACCCAGTCTTGTTCGGATTAGGTTGGGTTCAATCCAAACCCACCAAAATCCCAAATTAAGCAATCTGAGCCCAAATCAATAAACACCCACATCTTATTTTATTTTTCTAAAATTCTTCTAACTTGTTATTATATATTTTATTTTGTAATTCATTTTTATTGTTATTATAAATTTGATTGCTTAGACTTAATTAGTATTATTTATATTAATATACTAAAAAAGTATTGTATCAATTGTAACAAAAACAGAAACCTTAACCAATAAATGCATAGATAATTTATTTTATATATATACATAACTCAGGTGCGAACACTCTGTATAGCATGGTTTTGATAAAACATTTGTCAAACTGAAAAAATAGAAATAAAAAAATATATTTTACTTGAAAAAAAAAATTTCAAGGAAAATATTTTATGTTGAAACAAAGAGCCTTAATGTTATTATTATTATTGTTATTATTAGTTGGTACTCACACATATACCTCCACTGAATTTTCTTCCAAATGTTACAGTAACTGAAATGTTTTAAATGGATATTTATTTATTAAACTTTATGTTCAAATGACACATAATTAACAATAATACAGTCCTAGAAACAATAGTTCATTTCGACCAAACACACAACACACAGTGTGTGAATGAGATTTTATACAAGTGTGGCCCATCACTGGACTAATTAAATTTGAAGTCATGTAAGTGATTAGGCCCTACAATATTGTGTCATCATATCATATGGTTGATAAGAAATTGAAGATAGTAGTGTGAAATGGCATGAGAATAGCTTTTGTATATGGTGTAATCAAAATTTATAATGGAATAAGGACAAGAGTATTACCATACAATATAGACGACCTAAAGAACAGAAGAAAAATATATAAATCGCCTAGGTATATTTATGAAATTTTCTTAAAAATTTTGATATTTACAAATATGGGAAAAAGGAAAATGTAATTCTGCATATTTGAAAAAGAAAAAAAAAAATGACCCGTAAAACTCGTCCAACTCGTCCAAATATTTGGATTTGGGTTATGAACATAACCCGTTGTTAGGTAAACTTTGGGCTGGTCTAATCCAACCCGATTTTCTGTTGTTAGGTAAATTTTGGATTAATCCAATCCAACCCACTTTCAGGTTCAGATTGAGTTAGGACCGAGCTGGGTTGGGTTTGCCCAACTTGCAGCCCTACCACCAAGTGACAAGGGTGCTATCTAACAATTTCTGGTTTGCTTAGAATTTTAAAGGATACGCATGCTTGGATTAGTGATGTAATCGGTAGTTTGTGGAGAATAAAAATAATCCTAAAGACACTACCAGAGCAGTCAAGCAGACCATAATCAAATTTGGTATAATAATTTGGTTTATTCTGGGGCATGTGGGAGGAAATATAAATTGATATAGGTATATATACGGAGTATATATTAGAATAAAAACTATGATACGTACTATTTATCTATAAGATATTAATAATATTAAATAATGTTAAAAATGAGAAACAACATACTGGATGTCAAATTTATCAATCAATATGCTAATGAAACATTAGCCTATGAAAAGAAATAATGGAACTCTAATAATATGCTATTGCAATCTAGATCTCATATGGTCTGATATAAGAAACCTCAAGTTTTAAGTCACAAATTTAATTGCTCCAAACAATGAAAAAAATAAATGTAAAAGAAATTGTACAACATGAACACACAAACATAGAGAAAGAGATTCAAATACACATTAGACATGGATTTTGAAGGCATTAACATAGCTAGTAAGTAGAAATGGAATGGAATTGTGGTATTGAAAATGAATTTCAATTAAGAATTGAGGTTAATTAACAGCATCAGTTATTCAATGTAATCACAGCTGAGTCTAAAGCAATTCCACCAACAGCCGAATAAAATGTTGTATTGAAAAAAGAAAAAGAAATTCAGCATATATATTACCGTTAAGTGGACATAATGCAATGGGACTCAAGCATGAAACTATATTTAACATCAATATATAATTGAATAAAAATGGTGAGAAGGAATACTGCATCAGTATTTTCTTATATATATATATATATATATATATATATATATATAAGAGAGAAAGGAAGGAATAGAGAGAGAACCTTTTCAAAGGCTTTGACTTCGGCAACAGTTGTGGCGTTAATGTATAAACCTGCAAAGTGCAAATCAGTAACACATAGTGAATATATATATAACAATAATAAAACTGTACGTTTTCATAATTTAATGGAACGTTACAATAGAAAATTTAAGAAAAGTCAGTCAAAACTGTTTTCATAATTAAATGAATCTAAAACTCTTCGCTTATCAGTTGAATTTGTAGAAAGAAGAAGAGTTATAGTTGTTTCGTGAGAGTTTATAACTAAGAGCTTTTACCATTAGTGAAGAACAGGCGTGAAATAGATTGTGATTGAAGTATGATATGTTTTTTTTTTTTTTTTTTTCCCTTCAATTTTAGGGACAGTGGAGGAGTTGTAGGAATAGAAGGACAGTGGAGGAGACTAAATCCTATATTAATTATTTTTATTTTTTCTTTAGAATTTTAGGAATATAATTTATAGGAGACTTGAGTAAATTATTATTATTGATATTTGTAAATTTTGAGATATTTTAATTTTTAATAAAAAAAAAAAAAAAGGGTTTGAGTGAGAAAAGAAATAGAATTAGAAAAGACCTCTAGGAAGAGAAGACTACCAGTTGAATTTGTAGAAATGAATGAAAGTTAGTTTACAGAAATCGAATCATCAGAGTTTGTATCTAATATGGTCTTTACAAGTAAGAATTGTGACAGAACTAAGAACTAAGACTTGTTTGTTCCAATGTAAAATATATATATTTTTTTATTTTTTAGTGTTTGATTGTTGTAAATATTTACAAAAGGAAAAAAATATTAAAATTTAATAAAAATAATTAATTTATTAATTTTTGACAAATTATTTTACATACCTTACCCAACGAAATGGACCTTAATCCCAGCCTAAATTTTTTCTAAGTACCAAATATATATATATATATATATATATATATATATATATATATATTACCTGAAAAATAAAAATAAAAATCCCAAAAATAATATTTTCCGTTAAAACAAATAGGAACCTAAATGTTCTACTTTTAGGAGAAAAAAACTTTATTTTTTAAATAAAATAAAACAAACAAACAACAACAAATATGGCAAACAACTTGCAAAAGCTAATAGGAATAATATTTTCAGAAGTATCCTCCATCCTCCAATGCTACCAAAAAGATGCTCTTTATTTTCTACTTTTATTATTCGTGAGGTATCAAAATAATTCACGGAAAGTTAAGCAAATCTTAAACCTTAAAACCTATTTTACACTTTAATAGTCATTATAAACCACAAACTTGTTACTTAATGGAGACGTGTACTTGTAGAATTCTCCATATTTTCAAAGGTAAAAAATATCCGGAGTACGACTCCTTATCTCTTTAACTACTTTAATACCTTTAATAACACTTTAACACGTACCGTTTTAGAAATAATTATAAATACTTACATTTTATTTAAGTGGTCTATAGAACGCACAGTGAAAAAAAAAAAAAGGGCGGGGTCAAAAGCAAAAGAATTAATGTTCCTAAGTTACACTCAATATATTCTATTCTATATTTCTTTACTCAAAATTAAAAAGTAGTCCCACCACAATTTTCATTTTATCTCACTTTGTTTCTTTTTTAAGTGGCCAAGTTATATACAGTATATACTTTTTCCTGTACTTCCTTGTCTCAATTTAAGTGTTTACGGGGAGTGGTAATTTTTAAAAGGGACATGTAAGACATATATTGTTTTTTTGAAAAATTACTAATTTGATTTTTAAAGTTTTGAATATTCAAATTTAAAATTTTAAACTTAAAAAATATATATGAAAAAATGTAAAATATATTGTTTGAAAAAGAGAAGTGAATACTTATTTTGAGACAAACAAAAAAGAAAAACATGACACTTATTTTGAGACTGAGGAGTAATTAATAGTCTTAAAGATTCATTATTTTTATTATTAGGGTTAAGTGCATAAAACCCCCTCGCTATATAAAAAATATGCAAGAAACACCCCCACTAAAAATTAAGTGCATATAAATTCTTGTTTTATCAACCTTTTGAGCAAATTACTCCCTAATCATCAATTTTGACCAATTTTTTATAAAAATTATATAATTTCAAGATTTTATATATATATATATATAACACAACAAAATATTTAATTGTTCCCTAAGATGCACAACTTCAATTGTCCCTCTTGATTGTTCTTCAATGCCTCTGATTGGATGTTATCTTGATTGAGCCACATTGTAATTTTGATCCTTCAGGCTCATAGGAGCATTTACATTCCAAAAATCAAAAAAATTAAATTATATGAACATTATTATGTATATCCTTGCAACCAAGCCTACTCCCATATGTTAGAGGAAGAAAGAGAAGGATTTTGCTTCTAAAATCAGAGTTGTTATGGGTTGATTGCATCTCTTTTAAAGATTTTTCATCTTATATATATATATATATATATATATGTATGACAAGATGAATAAATATATGAAAATTGCTAAAAAAATGATAAGATAGAGAAATAAATATAGAAGTTGCTGGAAATAGAGTCCCACTAAAAAGTGAAAACAAATAAAGAAATAGAGAGGAGAGAGACCTTCCAAAAAAAGAAAAAATAAATTAGAGAAGAGAGTGGATATTTTGTTTTTTTATTATTATATTTTATAATTTTGATTTTATTGTATGAATATTTTAGACATTTCAATAATTAAATTGACCTAATATTCTTATTTGCATAAATTGTAAAATGCAAGTGAGTTTTATGAACAACAGAGTAAATTGCCTATTTTGTATATTAGGTGGGATTTGTTTTTGTACTTGATTCTTATTATTATTTTATAATTTTTAAGTCATGAGTCATGTGGTCTATTGGTGGTGCCGACAAATAAATAAGAGTATTTCAGTAATTTCACTACAACAATTACAATAATACACACAAGCACAGGACTATAAATAATAAACCCAACCCAATCTATGTCTCTCCACTTACCATCATCCAAAGCCGCCAACAATTCCCCTAAACCTTCACGCTAGGTCACCTAAAAATCCTCCAAAATGTCGTCTCAAAAAGTCGCAAGTCACCGAGAAAACGCCGAGATATACCACGGCGAAGCCCTCTGCAAGCAGAAATCTCGCGAGCTGCTGGAGAAGGTGTCGCTTCCGAAGGGACTCCTGCCCTTAGACGACGTCGTGGAGGTGGGCCACAATCAGTCCACTGGCTTCGTCTGGCTCAAGCAGAAGAAGAAGACGCAGCACAGGTTCCGCCTCATCGGCCGCAACGTTTCGTACGATACGGAGGTGACGGCGTTCATGGAGGACCGTCGGATGCGGAAGCTGACAGGTGTCAAGAGCAAGGAGCTCCTGATTTGGGTCTCCATCTCAGATATCTACATCGATGACCCTTCCTCCGGCAAGATCACCTTCGGTACCGCCGCCGGCATTTCACGATCGTTTCCGGTTTCGGCCTTCGAGGTTGAAGATAAAAAGTAAAATCTTTCTATATATATATATATATATTTTTTTTTTTTTTTTTTTTTTTTTTTTTTTGCAAAATAAGAAAATGTGAAACGTTGTGAAACTGTTTTCGATGTCTTTTATGAATTTACTTTCAGTTTGTGTTAGTGTTTTGAGATTTGGGGTTTGTTTAGGAAATTACAGTAATTACTAATTATAGTCTTGTTTGTTAACTGTGATATTTGGTGCAGCCACGTAGGCAAGTTAATACTTTCTATCTTTTTCTTTTTTCTTTTTTATATATGATTTGGATATTAGAGTAATGTTAAAAACTTGGTTTGAAAAGCAAATATATCTTTTGAAAACATTTAAAATGTTGAATTGCACATAATGTATTTATGCACTCTACCTATTGTCTTTACAGTTTAGGAATGACTGGAACTATTATGTTATGTTTGGCGCACCATATCATTGTCAAAATTTAGTACAAATTTTGAACTAAATTTTATCTAATTTTAAATCTAAGTCACATGTTACCAAACATTACAATAGTGAATTTATGTAATTTAAGTCACATGGTTTGGGAGTAGTGTTTTGAATTTGGAATCAAAATTAATTTAAAGTTTGATAAATTAGAAAGAATTATGTCCATAAACCGGGCACTTGCATGGTAGAGGCCTAGCGGTGGATAAAACATTATATAAACTAAAATACAATGAGTTTGAGCCGCTAAACTAAAATACACCGTTCTTTTTTCTTTTATCAAGAGTTTGGGACAAACTAAAAATACATATAAAGAAGGTAATTAAGGTAATTAATTGATATATCATTTATTAATTTGTTTCTATTTTTTCCACTGTGTCATTGTCATTTTGATTATGCCAAGTTCTCATTCTTCGAAGACGTATATTTGGTGATGGATGAGGATTACTACGAGAACTGAGAGAAAAAGAGAGTGATTGATTTTGATGTAATTTGGTGAGACATGACCCAATAACATTCGTTTACGAGCTAGATAGCATTCTCTTACCAACCAATCACGTAAGTAAATTCGGTTAAAGAAATTAATCAAATCCTTCTTTATAAATATCACTACTTACAATAGGTTTGACTTATAAAAAGAAAATGATTCATTACTAATTATGTGACTTACAAGTTTTGATTAAAATATAAATAAATGAATCTTCTACTTTCTTTTTATAATTCACTTTCAGAGGTGGCCGAAGTATAAAAATGGTTTATGTTTGATGTTGACAACGCCATGTTTGAGGTTCAACTCATCTGAAATCATGCACTTAGCACATGGGAATCCACAATTACCTTTCAAGGGCGGTTGATTGATCACCTAAATCTTATTTTTCAACACCCCATGTTCCGTTGCAGATTTGATTTCATGAAACTGATCACCCAAAAATGTCACTTGTCAGGATATCAGTGAAGTTTATGGTATATATTGTGACTATTACCATTTTTATATAATTTTTTAATGTATATAATTACTAAGACTTTAGATTTTCCAAAAAAACAAAAAAGAAAAAAATCATTACCGACAGAAATAAAGCCAACTTTGTAATCCTGCTTTCAAAGAGCTCCATACCAAGTTCACCTACTCGAGGATATATACAGATAATAACTAAAACCAATTACATTAGGCGGCTAAATACCGAAGGCTCTAGCATAGTGGTATCTCCTCTACTTGTCCAAAAATTAGTAAGTCTTTCAAATATATAAACCAGGAGTCATTACTTATGCAACATCAAACACAACCATGAAGATAGGAAAGAATGATTTGTAAAAGAAATTACATAATGTTGATGCTTCTTTTTCCTTTCAATAAGTAACATATACCTCAAAGGGCATCAAAATGGAGCCCAAAAAAAAACACTCATCAAATCCCTCCCAGCAAAACCTAATGGCTTTCCAAAGTCCCACTTGTAGAGCTTCAATAAACAAGCAATCATCCCTAATGCTTCCACACTATCCAACAACCCCCTTCTCCACAAAAAAATTCCGTCTCCATTCGTCATTATCATAACCGCTTATCTAACAAAGCTTGGTTAAAAGTACAAAAGTTCCTAATGCCAACCCACCACCTTCCTCCGTTGCATAAACACCACTTTCCAAGTTACTAAGCTTGTTTCAATTTCCCTTTCTGAATGAGCTTCAAAGGGGTAGAGGGCATCACATGATATGTGACTTACGACAACCACCAAGAGGCTTCATGACAGCAGAAACTAAAAACCATTATGTAATCCTTCAATTCTCCAACTATGGCATAACAAGTTAACTATTACCAGCATAATGTCAAAATGCAGCTGTATACCTACCCCCTCTTCTTGGATGCAGCTTCTACAAGAGAGAAAAACAAAATATAAATTTGGAGGGGGTCTGATTTAGCAGAAACGACTCAGTCATTCACCTAGGGGTGACATCAAGAAGAAAAGTAAAATACATGTAGAAATGTTTGTAGTACGGAAGGATATACAAGACACTCACCGGAGGAAAAAATAAATGTAGTGCAAAGCTGAATTTATCCACAAGTAGCATCACAATGGTGCTAATTCTTCATGACTATCAGACTATTAATCCAAAAGAATCTGAAATGAACCCAAAAGACAAGCAATTCATTCAAAAACTGAAAAAGCTAGTAAAAACATAAGCAAAGAGTAAATTTATATCACATAAAAAAAGTGATCAGTAGAACTCAAAGAGATGACAGCACCTGCTGTCATAGACTGGCCTTAGAAAGCACAGCAAAAGATAAAGGGAAAATAGGATTTCCATACAGCATACAGAAATTCCAGACCAATTACGTTCATCAGTAAATAGAGCCATCAAGTCATGCAACATAAAAGAAGTGTCTTAAAGAGGTAACCACACAAAGGGAACAACACTATACCAAAACTCCACCTATCTACTGTTACAAGTGCTTAAGGTAGCATCAGCTTTGGCCTCAGTCTCCTCCTTTTTTCTTTTTGTCTTCTTCTCTTTATCTTCTATTTTTTGCTAAGAACAATTCAATCAAAATTGCAATGAATGCAATGCTAAAAAAGTTCCAACTTAAGTACAGATAAATTCTGTGCAAAGGTCAAATAAAATAAGAGGAGTTTTGATCCATCTAAGTAAGCATGTTGAATTCTTGCTCACCAATCTGATTTCATATTTATTGAAATATAGGAACTTTCACCACAACCTTGTTCTTGATCACTTAATACTGACGACCAAACAACTGTACCCAAAAATCCAAATAGGAATATGCATGCCGGCTTGATGTCAATAAAAATTCAAGCATCCAACAGTACATTTTATGCACATAAATGGAGAAAGCGATACCACTGTGTTAAAGTAATGAAAAGATGCCAAGCACTCTGCAAGGCTAGAACTGACTCATATAATTTGTACCAAAGATATCACAACTGATAAGTATTAAAAGAGAATGAGAAAAACTGTTAGTACCATTCAACCGGTGAAAACAAGCCTAACTCCTGGTAAAAGGAACAAAGATAGTGCTGGAAATCAATAAGGCTCACTTAATTTTTCTTATTATATATATATATATATATATATATATATATATTTGCCTTTTCCTTCTCATACTTAAAATTAAAGAAAATTAAAAGAAAAAATCAAGACTGGCTTCTTGTGCATGGCCATACAGAGTCATGTTCGACATCGACATTTTTAGATTCATTAATTAACAAATGTAATTTGAATTTTTTTCCCTCTAGCTAGATTTCTGCATGCTCAAGAAACTTTATGGAACTAAATTTATTTGTTGTTCTGAAAATAGGATCACTTAACATTCAGGCTTTAAACATTAAGAAAACTGGATCAAAGAACTCTAGGTATCTGAATTATCAGGATTGATCTGATCTCAAAATGCAACAGCACACTGCAATGAATATACAAGGCCCAGAAAGAAACCATTTGCAGCTAGGAAGTCAACTTAAGATTTTCTCAAAATTGAAGGCAAAATTTCTTCCAGCTAAGTCAAACTTTTTATTCCAGCTTGAAACAGTTTATCTGTAACCTACGCATGCCTCTTATGCATTAAAACATCATAAAAGTTGCATAATATCGAATGCCCCAGGCCCCCAAGTCTCAACATATACAGTCCATATAATCACAAGGATAACATTATATAGCATTGCAATGGATATCAAAATTGCACTGGATGTCAAAAAATTTCTTCTTTTGGCTTCTATTTAAGAACTGATATTAGATTTCAGTTATGTGCAATCCCAGATCTAACCTTCAGTACTCCACATGATGCACTGATATGACGATGTAATTTTTTTTTTCCCCCTGATAATCCCACAATAATACTCAGGACGAGCTGTGAAATCCAAACCACTTCATCTACAAAGTTATACTTTGTCAAATATAGAACAGTAATACTAGATCTCTTCAATAAATCATTTAAAAGTTCCAAGGCAACAAGGGGCAGGAAACCACAATGATACTTGGGAATAAATTTATGAAGAGAATTCAAATAAAATCAATGAGTGGAAAAAGAGAGAGAGAGAGAGAATAATGAAAGAAAAAGTAAAGGTAAATAAGATTCCAGGAAAGAAAATTTGAAATCTGTTGCCAATCAACTATCAACTGAAATCCAAAGCAACACTAAAGCTCTGAATTCGACACCAGTAATAGGGTTATGTTTTCCAATCATTCAAATTCAAGAGATTCTTGTCCCTTCACATGAGGAGGTTTCAAAGGGAAAAACCAGAATAAAGTTATTCGACGGAAGTATTAAGATCATTGAGTTCTTCTCTTGAAATTCTAAAAAATGAGCTTCTCAAGCAATCATTTTCTACTCAAATCCCAACTAAATTTAACGGCTTTACCCGTGTCTAGGCTCAATTTCCGTATTAAATCCTACCATGATTTTTTTTTTTTTTTTTTTTTTTTTTTTTTTTTTTTTTTTTGTTTCCCCCTTTTTCACTCCTCACTACCTAAATCCAAGCTCTATTTGGCCCCTATTATCCTTTTAGGGCCATCCAACCTCACCATAGCTTACTGATGAAGTCATTGGTTCCTTCCAACAAGATCAAATATTTTCAGCAACCTTCATATCATCTAATCTGTATTTGATGCAACACTAGCCTCTCGTGGATATATTTTTTTAGAATTCTATTCCTTCCTGTGTATTCACTTACCTACATTCATTTAATGCACATATTCTATCTTAATGGTAGACACTGAAGTGACTGAAAAGAAGAGATCCGTTTAAAAACGACAAAGCCCAAAGCATAAGAAGCAATTAAGTACCTAAACTCTGATGATAGTCATGTAACTGCCCATGCATCTGAACTGTGTGTTACGTGGACAGACAAAGCCCATAATCCTTTGGAGTAAACCTCCTGCTAGCAATCATTAACCATGAAGTTAAATTCCAGGGCTCTCTAATCCTGAATTTATGATGATATCAATACATTCTCTGAAGCATTTTTCATTTGATAATCACCATTAGAACAGGAATTCCGAATTCCAAGAGTCTTGCAGTCCCACAAAATTTCAGATATCTCATCTTGAGGCAGAACTAATCCTTTACGTTTAACTGATTTAAGCAACTCACAGAAGAATTTTGGGTCCTGTAGCTTGATATACTCGCGCAACACCTGTTCATGGTCAGGCACCCAATTCCTTGGGAATGGAGTGTAATCACATGATGGAATCATAGACATGTGAGAGAACTGAACACCCGCAATGGCATCAACAAGCCCCATCCTCAAAAGATCTGAATATTCAGGTGCAGAATTGTTACTATTCTCCGTCAATGGACGGCTGAGATCACGTGAAGCTATCTTATACACCTTGGCACGAGATTTTAATCTATACCTTGCTGCATATAGTTTAGCTAGAGAACTACGAATCACATAGGCACAAAATCCAACAATTTTCTTGCGGTTATCTGCATATCTATACCAATCTGCCATTGTCTCGAGGAACTTATTCATCTGTGCATTGGTATGGGCTTGACTTGAGTAGAGCATTGGAGTGCAAGGCAGTGGCTCAGGATCTCTATCACCCTTAACAAACGCGAGCCGCCTAAATTGGCGAATACACTGTTGCAAGCTAGCAGTAACCGAAAGCAAAGTCCCTATACCTTTCTCACTCACAATTTTACCACCAGTAGCTGTGTAACGAAGAGTTGGGTGTATCACCCGACGACAAATTATATGATCCAAGAACTGAATTCCCCTAGTTATGTGCTCTATCTCCACCTTCGAATTATCCAACCTTATCCCATATTTGCTATCACAAAATTCAATGATTGCCTTGCGAATTTCCACTGCATCCTCTCTAGGTCCTCGAATTCCAATCAAGAAATGACCCCCAAAACGAATGTAATCCATTTTTCTTGTTTTCTCCTTCCCACTTGATGGAACAAACTCAGGCCAAGCAGGGTTATGACTACCATCATTAATTGAATCTTTCCAAATTGAATCGAGCTTAGATGGCTGAAAAAACTTAGCAATTTCTTCTTCCATGGTGTGATCCAATTCGTTAAGACATACATTAGCAAGTAAAGGACTAAGAATTCCACAATGACCATAATTGGGTACCTTGGCAGCTTCCTCAGGGGAAAAATCGAAGAAAGTTCTTAACCAGTAGGGGTCTGGTTTCGGCTCATTCCAATTCAGAATCTTTTTCTTAGTGGCCCCCTTTCTTTTCTTCCTCTTCTTCCTTCCAAACTCTCCCTTACTTTCAGTACCAAATCGTAATCCATTTCTTAACGGTACTCCGAATGCCGTTTTGATCAAGCTCAATACTTTCTTATCCTTCACTGCGTTCTCAACAAAACCCATCACAACATTTTTATCGACATTGGAAAAAATTTCGCTCATATCACCTTTTAAGAACCATAGATACCCAGCAAAATGACTCCGAATGGTCCGAATGACTGTGTGCGCATTCCTACCGGGTCGAAAGGCGTGCGATTTGGGCGAAAACCGAGACTCGAAAATGGGTTCCAGAATCATCAAGAGGACTTCCTGAACAACGCGGTCTTGAAAAGGCGGCGTATCGGAGTCTAGAATCGATTGGAGCTTGCGTCTGGATATCACTGTGGTGAGAGGTTTGTCGTTGGGACTGCGAATGTAGAGGTGGGTCTTCATGTTCCAGACGAACTGACCTTTGACGATGGCGTTGCGGAGGGATAGGAGGTCACAGAGTATGTGGGAATGAATGGCGTTACGAGGAGGAAAAGATCCGGTCACGTGGGCACACGTGCGCTGGTATGCCAAAACCCAGAGATCGAGCTTGGAGAGAAAGCCGGTGAGGTTGGAAAAGGGTTTGCAAGTCTGGGTTTGGTTGTGGTGATCAGAGAAGGTTCGGACCCAGAGGTCTGAGAGGACTTGGATAGGGTCTTCTTTTAAAAGAGAATATGGGTCTTGTTCAGGAGGCTGCTGACGGTGGTCCTCGTGGCGGTGGTGGGGAGAAAAGTGTGAGAGAGAGCGAACGGAAGTGATGCGTCTGAGGTGTTTGATGGTTGTTCTCAGAGACATTTTCAATTGGTTACAATTTTGAAGCGAACGTTTTGTTCGACTGAGTGCTTCGATTTGAATGCTTAGCGTTTACTTGGCGGTGAGATGGGCTTTATTGATCCGGACCTGTCTGAGCTGGAGGAGTTGTAGATGTTAGAGCTACCACTCCCAGAAAGGCCTACAAAACTTGTTTGGCCAATTTGGCTCCCAAAAAGGCCAACAAATCTTGTTTGGGCAATTTGGGTGGGTTGACCATTTTTGTTAAGCTGGTCTGTTTCAATTTTTAGACTTTAAAACTCCAGCCATAAGGTAAACATTTTTTTTTTTTTACTCACATAAAAATTGAATGTGTCCGATTTTTTGATTACTTATAATTTTTATTTCTTTTTAAATATATTTTTCTTAGTTAGAGAGCTTTAATTAGACTGAATTACATATCCACGTGGTTGCAACTGTTGCAATCTAACGACGGCTAACACTCCATTAAAACACATAAATCAGCTTTTTAATTATATTATTGGTTCATTTTGTTTTTAGTGAAATATTTATAACAGTCCGTTATATTACGTCATCTATTACAACCAAACATAGCATAAAAGCAATTACAAGCTTTTTAATTGTCACCAAAAGGCCATTGGGCAATAACCTCCCCATCCTCATAGGCTCGGAGAAGAGTTCGACCTCAAACCCCCATAGGCGGACAAAGTGTGTGAGTAACATTCCTGATAAAATCAAGCAAGTTACTGTGATAACTTACCTGATGCACTCATGCAAGTGACTGTGGTAACTGCACTTTACATTTTTCTATCCTCAAATTTCAACATGGTCCCATATAGAATTAACATAAATCAAATTGGATTTTACCCAACTGACATGTAAAGTCACAATTTTGAAAATATTCATCGCTCTCATTATTTTTAAAATTTTCATTTTCAAGTTTTCGGTAGAACTGCATACGTTGAAATGAGTCTCTAATTTGACATCCAAGAAATGCATTGTCCTTCCATAAATTATGATTTTTGAACGAAAGACCACATGGTCTAGGTTATAGATATAGAAAATGATAGTTAGTACATACCCAAATGAATATATATATATGTAGAAGAGATAGCTACTACAGTCTATTCTATACATATATATATATATATATAGATTAGGATATATAGATCTTATGTGTAGATATAGATTTGTGTAAACACATAGTATGGAGAGCCATCCCCTAGCTATCATATATATATGCATGGAGTATACGCTACGAAAATCTCCATAACCCAAACAATATATAGAGCTAACCCCACAAACGATGCAATTTCACATGCTCTTAATTAGCCTCTCAAAGTGACAAATTACACATTGACCTTTAGATTTCAAGTCCGCTGGGTGAAATTGAAACATCCCAACAAGTCAAAAAAACAGACACCCCACTCACATATCTTACAAGAACCATTCATTGCACTAACATATATATATATATATATATATAGTAGTATATATTAAAGGAAATTACTAATAACAATAAATGACAAGGCTTTATTAATTTGTAGCTTTTGAAATATTTTAGATGGCATCTCTGTTGGTATTTCTGAGACCAATACTCTAGGTCACAAATTGGACCATCCTGTTCACCACACACGCACACAAATAAAATAAATATAAATATAATACAATACTAGTAAAAAATTAATATATTTATGACCATTCTATATATATATTCTAACATAGATTACATTTATTTGACACTGATGAGATGATTGTTAATTAATTTGTCCACAAACTGAACCAAAAATAATAATAATAATAATAATAATAATAATAATAATAATAATAAAATAAAACCTTTCCACCAGCTTCATATTGCTCAATCAATTGGAATGTTATGGTACTTAAATGTACATTGATAAAGATACAGTTAAATTGTACAAAGAAGCGGGGAAAATCATGACATTAGGCCAGAACGAAACTATGAGATATTGAAGAGTTTCATCCCCGTGATAAAAAAAGAAAAAAGAAAAAAGAGAAACATATGGAAGATATATAGAGATATATACAATACAAAACGTCCTTATATATATATAGATTGCGATCAATCTTATTTTTTGATTGCCATATGTAGTACAATCCATTTTGCTATATGGTACTAGAAGATCAATCAACAAATATGTTCTCATGAACCTCAAAGCTACCTTACTACTAATATTAATCAGCAGCCTTTACAAACAAAGTAAAATTAACAAACATTAGACCAAAACTTATCAAGAAATACATACATCTATATATAGTACTGATCAAACAGAATGATCGATCCAAGAGACGTACCATATATGCAACTCCTTTTATCTCTAGGGTTTTGAGAAAGTGCATATAGAATGGCGGCCTCAAGAACTAGGGTTTATGGGTAGAGGAGAGATCGCAGTAGATGAAGGTGGCTGATGATCGAGGATAGTCGTTGTGGCACGGCAACGAACCGGAGGGAGGGACCAAACCCTTTGGAAGCATGGCTGAGAAAGGCCTGCTTCCACCATTGATATTAATATTGCTGTTCTTGAAGTTTGATCTCTTCGTCATCGTATTCTTCTTCTTCTTCTTCTTATTCTTTCCTTTTTTTGATCTGAGCTGCTTCTTCAATTCTTGTTTGTCGACTAACAACAATGGTGTTGCGTTCTTGATGTAGAACACTCTGAATCTTGAGGGCACAACAGATGGTGCAATATTGGATACTTCATCGTGTGATGATGATGATGATGATGATGATGATGATGAAGAGTAAGCAAACGAGGAGATGACGATCAGTAACAAAACAAGCAACAGAAAGTTGCAAACATTCAATCTGTAATTCAAACCCATCAGAGTATAGGTTAATTGTGATGCATTTGTTATATATTTATGGAGCGAGAGAGAGAGAGAGAGAGAGAGAGAGTGAATGTGATTATTGAATTGCGTTCTCTTATTTTGATAGTTTCTTGGTTATTTATATATGTACAACAAGTACATATACGGCCTTGATCTCGTGGTTATGTCAACATTCTTTGGAACATCCACACTACTTAGATCCGAATTGTAAGACTCGGTTGTTATGTAAATTTCAATTTTCTAATTTTTTATTGCCTTGATTATTTAAAAATAAAAAATTACCAAGTTTTTGTAATTTCTGTCCTGTTGTATTTTTCCAAAAATATTTTAATTACCAATTAAAAACTTATTAAACGGCATTCTTGAAGTCTTTAAATGGTTGAACAAATTTTCTATGAATAATATTATTTGAATTTATTTTCTATTAATTATTATTTGAATTGGCTTGGATGAAATTAAACCAGGGGAAATAGGTCGAGTTGTTTGTACCCAAAATAAATAAAAATATTTGTTGGTTTCTGATACTTTGAGACGCTAAATCAAGATCCATAGAATCATCATGTAGCGTAGGATCATAAATTAAAAATAAAAATGGATGGAGAAAAAAAGGCATAGAATGGGAAGAATAAATAAATAAGGGGGGTGGGGGACATTCAATTGACCAGCCGTGGAAAGAGGAGACCTTAGTAGGCCCAAATTGAATAGGGCAAGTTTTTTTTTTTTTTTTTTTTTCTGAATAATAGGGCAAGTTTGATATATGTTGCTTTGTCAAATTGTCACAATTGGTTAGAGTTGACAAAGTTGATTACTATTTTGCTACATAAATCAAATAAATAAAAATTATAGTTTATGAAATAGTTAGCATTTGGAACGAATAAACTATGTAAATTAGTACTAAAAGAAATGAAACTTGATTGAGTGGTAAAAGTCCTAACTTTCCTACAAAGGTTCAATATGAGTTTCAATATGATCCCACACGTGATTATGAAGATTTGAACAAGGTATGATATAATAAAAGATTTTTACAACTTTATATGAGTCTCATGGGCATAATCACGTTAACATGGATCAGAATTTAATTAGGATGGGTACTAGCAATCTAAGAAAATTTGAATTTAAATTCTAATATTATTTTTATATATATTTTTAATTTTAAATACATTATACATAATATTTAAAGTACGATTAACTTTTTCTTTTCAACTTCATCTCTTAAATCTTAATTTATTATATGTTAACACTCAAGATAATTAATTTCTAAGAATTTCTTCGTAATTTATTCAAATTTTATAAAATGTCTTTAAATTTTTTTTTAAGAGTAATTTAATCTAAAACTAATTCAAGATCATATTAAATTTTTGTTGTGAAGATTAGTTATATGAGTAACTTGAATTACTCTCAATTTTTAATATGAAATCCAAGCCCGAGTTGCAAACTCGAATTTAAAAGTAGAAGAATGGGTTGGATTCGCGTTAGGTAGTTAGGGTTGAAGATAGAGTTAAGTTGGGTTTGGGTTTAGTATTTTATATAATAAGTTGGGTTCAAATTATACCGTGCTTTATGAAAATATATATATATATATATATATATATATATATATAATAATGGATAGTTTATTTTGAAATTTGAGATGGGGCGTGACATTCGAGGCATAATTCAAACTCGAGTCATATGTAGTTCAAGACCCCTCTACTCTGTTTAAATTGACGGGTTGAGGTCGAAAGCAAAATCCATATTTGGCCTAAATCTCTCTCCCCGAAGATCAACTCTGTTTTTTTGCGAAGCACCTCCAAGACCAACTCGTCCAACCCTCAAGGTCTGTTCAGTAGATTTTCAAATTTGCTTCTAACAATGACTATTTTATCTGATTTTTTTTTTTTTCTTCATATTAGTTCCACTTTGGCCAAGCATATTGTGAGATTTTGGATTCTGAATAGTGTTGTGTGTGTCTATATATATATATGTATGTATGTATGTATGTATCAGAATTGTGTGTTCTGTGGCAAATGAACTTGAAAGGTTTGTTTCGGACTGAGAAGTGAAGGATTGCTGCTTTCATCTATTTGAGGGTAAAGTGTAAATAACCCCTGAAGTATTGGCCATATGCAATTAACTCTTCTGGACTATAATTTGCCTCATTCAACTATTAAATTTTTACAATTAATCTCCTGATGTGACATAATCGGCCAAATTAGTTATAACGAAATAGCAAAAGATAATTTTATCCCCTTGGACAGTGCTACACTTGTAGCCAAACAGGCCTAATTTTGATTTCCTCTTTCTTTGGTTCTATATAGAGATAAATATATCATATATATATATAGAGAGAGAGAGAGAGAATCAACGCCGGCGACCATAGCTTCACAAAGCCGAAAATCAGAGACTGTTCCGGCAATGTACGAGAAGTGAGTCCTCTCCACCGTCCTCTCAACCGCCGGCCGCCACCATCCGAAGCCAAGATCGTAGCCGTTCAGTCCCGCCGGCCGCCATCAAACCCAATCACGGCCGAGCTTCTTTATAACAGCCCATCACCGGAATCGCGACTTCTTTAGTCGTTGATTCGCTGCCCTCCTGAACCAGCCGTCTCCACGCCGAGCACACCGCCGTCTGTGTTCCGAGCACCGCCGCAAGCTCACCGCCGAGCTTCGCCTCATCCGCCGACCTCCCCGTTCCGAACTCACCGCCGCCTCCATCACAACCGACACCATCAAAGCCGAGGTAGCCGCCGCGAGTTCACCATCACAGCCCGCTGCTCACCGCCCCAAGCTCTCCACGGCCGAGCCAACAACCAAGCTCTCCACAGCCGGCCGATTCTTGCCCGCCTTCCATCTCCACCAACAGCCAAGGAATTCTAGGGCACAATGATTCAGAAATTTTCAATTTTGTTTATATTTTATACAATTGACAGTGTTTTATGTTTTCATGTGTCCATGGAGGAGTTTTTTGGGGATTTTCTCAATTTAGGGTTATAAATTTGATTCGTCTTCGAGAATTTCCTTCAAATCGGATGCTGTTCAGTCAAGGATGCATTGACCAAACTCCTGATTTTTTTTTTTTTAATTATTATTATTATTTTTGGGAGAAATTAAAGTTCATGAAGTAGATTCATTTGGGTTCATGTTTAACCGTCCTTGCAGTTTGGGTTGAAGATGACGCTTGGGGTGGTGGTTGACGATGAGGGTGTGTGTATATATGTGTGTATTCATGATGGATATAATATAGAAAGAGAGAGAATCAGAAACTTTCACGGGCACCGGAGTTGTAGGTGGTTGATGATAGGGGCATTGTGGTCTTTTAGTTTCATATAAGGGTTGTATGGTTATTTAAAAAAATTTGGATTGTCGTGACCAGCACATGCTTCTTTACGGTCAAATTCAACCTACTTGCTTATCACGGATGGATTAATTACAACGGGTTAATTACAACAAATTGGTTAGTTCGGGGATTATATGCCAAATTATTAGACGAGAGAGTTTTCTACTAAATGACCAATACTTTATGGAGGATTTTTTTTGCACTGTACCCTCTATTTGATGGCAATTTGTCTATACCCACCTCTAATATTGCTATTTTTTAAGTCACATAAAGCATGGTTGGGCTTATAGAACTTTCCCTATTCAACTTTATATCTCTATGAGGGTCAGACAACACTCACATCATCCCTTTTACACTAGTTTTATGTCCAGTAACCATAATATTTTTGGTGTTCATGAATATGCAACTGTTTCCCATATAAAATTTTGTTTTTCAGAAGGCTGCAATCTCAAACTGTTCTCTTTGATAAGCGGTAAGGAAAGCTACATTGGGTTAAAATGTTATGATGCTTTTAGTACTGGATTTCAGTTAGTTAATTGGATATGTGATGTTGTGGCCAATTTTTTTTTTCCCTAGCCATGGTAGGACCAGAAAAATGGAACTCCCCCCCCCCCCCCGGGTTTAGGAAAGAGAGAGAGAGTTAGGGTTTGGGTTTGTAATTTCTTGCATTACTGAAATCTTTACTGTGGATGTGGGCTTATATCGAACCACGCAAATCTTTGTGTGTGGCGTGTTTACCTTTGTGCTTGATTGACGGCATTTGTCATAAGAGGATAGAATTGTAATTGGATTGAGTTTTTATCTCATATAATGAGTTGAAGGCGACCATTTGTAATTTGACTTCCCTAGAATTATTTATTGCTTTGGGCAGCGAATTTGATTAATCAGTGCAGTTTATTTTCTTGTTAAAATATATCAATATACAGTTGCCTTGAAGCTACAAGCTAACTGCATGTCTACATTCTAACTTGTAATTTTCCGATATTCATTTGGTGACGTCACAATCTGGACCTTTCACACATTTTGAAGGAGAAACAGATGGTCGCCATCTCGGATTACACTCAAGTCATCTATTTCTGCATTCTGGGCACTTACAACTTTCGTAAATTCGTAGCTTCCGAGTTTTTGACCTGCATTTCCACAAGTTGCAGGATGGCAAACAGGTAAAGCATTAAGAAAGTAAAACATGCTTTGTTAGTGAAACATTATAGCTAGTCACTATTCAAGGCTAATCTTGTTGTTGCCTTCTCATTTTCACTTGCACTTGAATCTAGTCCAAGGTTGATCAAACTATTAAAAAATTAATCTACAAATCAGGCTTGAATGTTGTTAATATGTTGACTTTTCATTTTCATTTTCATTTCTCTTGAATCTAGTCTAAGGTTGATCAAACAATTAAATTATTAATCTAGGAATCCAGGTTTATGTTTGCAAGTAGCCTTTGTGGTCAAACAGAAGTTACAAAACTTACCAGCAATCCTGAATAGCTCTTCCAGTGAATCAGGTAGGAGTATTAGCTTTCCCAGCTGTTTTGGGGATGTGATGTTATTTTGAAACTTCATATGAATGGTGACTCTTCTCTTAGTCAATTTTGTAACTTCTCTAGCAGGGGCACGGCTAGAACTGCTCGAGCTGAAGGTTGGGGGTACCTTTCTAACATCAGAGTTTGAAAATTTGGGGCCCTTGTTTCTTGTAGGTTTGAATTGACTGTTCCTGGAGCAGTCAGCTCTTTCTGGCCCTATAAAATCTATTTTTTTTCCATGTAATATCCTTCTATTTTCATAATTAAGTAAAAGGTCATGTATACTCTTATTTCCTTGCTTTTCAGCTAGAGCTTTTGGTGTCCACCCTTTCGCATCTGGTTTGTTCACCTCTGCTCCTTCTTCCAATAGAGTTCTAACCATTTCGAAGTGCCCCTTGCGAACAGAAGGTGTTAAATTGACATCCATTCCAGTGATTCCACTTCTGGTCACAGTATGAGCTATTCCTGCACCATTCTTCTCTGTAGCCTCTGAAGTAAGGAAATCTATTTCTGTCTCACTCTGTTTCAATGGATCATGTGAATGATCTTGATAAACAGTGTGAGAAGAGATTTCTCCTTCTAGTTCTCCATCAAACCACTCACTGTGGGTCAAACCTGGATTTGCATGTTGGTCCAGAAGACCAAACTTTTCAAGCTCTTTCATTTTCTGTACATGGAGAGCACATAATATCAATCTTTATTATTGTTGCACATAACAAATGAAGTAGGTATCTCACTTCAATTCTCTGTTTCATCATATATGCATACCTGGAAAAGATTGTTCATGATAATGCATCTATCTTCTGTATTTTCCTGAATAATGTTCATCAGCGTACTTCTGTTCAGCCGTAGTATTTGAGAAATCTTGGTGGTTCTAACTGTGAATGGCTGTGGCCTATGACACATAACACCTATTTCTCCAAAAATATCCCCTGCAACAGCCTTTCCGAGAACCTGTCCGGTGCATCAGAGAATGTGAAGTTAGGTCATTGGTGTCTGCTTGTTCTACTGGTTATGAATATCCTAGTGTTAAAGTTACATACTCGATCATGGCCATCAATATGAACGATCAATTCCTGCCACCACAAATCATTCCCGAACCAAAGATGTTAAGAGGTAAGTGTTGTGGAGGATTTGAAAAGTATTTGAGATGAATATCAAGTTCACTCACCACTGCTCCTGAGACCAGTATGTAAAGATTTGTTGGAGTCTCATTCTGTAGAATCACATCTCCCTTGGGTGGGAAATATCCAGACTCCATTTCAGAAACCTTTTACAAAGTAGAAAATAGTATTAACATCTTGCAAAGATTATGAACTTAGTATAAACGAACACCATAACTCGTGGATTTTGTTTTTAGACCTCTGTAGAAGAGAAACACTTTCTTAACTTACAATGAGAGAAACGGAGAAATAATATAGAAAGAAGAATACCAATTGGAAAAGAAAGTTGTGAGAAACTCCCTCAAAAAGACGGACATTTTGAACAATAGGGAAGAAGAGACCGCGTGCAATGCTCGAGCGAATGGATTTTGGCAGACCATATAAGGTCTCTTGCTGTTTCAGTTCTTCTGTTTTGAACTTGAGACATATGTGAGACAACATTTGATCCTGTATGTGAGAGGGCAACTGGTTTCTTGCTGCGAATTCAGAAGTAGCACTGACTGTATCCCTCTACAGTACCAGAGGAAAGTTTCTTAAAAATTGCACTCCTAAAAAAATATATATATATATATATATATATATATATATAACATTCTATGAAGAGGAAAAATAACTCAAATCTAACTGACTGACTGGAAAATTCCAATGCTTAATTTGATAATTTCAATGTTGTATTATTACGCACGAATATGTCCTATTTTCTCTTTAGTGTCGGCATGGCATTTGAAGTTTTTCATACGGAAATATCAACTTTAAGGGAGAGGATGTCTTGCTGCACAAGTTTTATAGTTCTCACTACAGTAGGAATCTTAGTAGAAACTGTTGATGGGAACTTGGGTTTATTCTGCTTCTTTTAAAATCCAGTTTGTATGTAGCTTTTTTAACAGGGATTTTTTTGGATGAATAACAGGTGCAGTTTGGAATAGCACAAAAAAGTATGAGAGAGAGAGAGAGAGAGAGCATACAAAATTTCTGGTGTGGCTGGTCCATTGGACTACAAGGTTTGTCATGTTCCCTATGAGGTAAGATGTCAACCCCAAGTTGAATAGCATATAAAAAATATCAATTAGCATCTCTTTTGGGTTCTCAGCATGCAAGTCACCATAACCAGTTGTAGTTAGTGTTGTAATAGACCAGTATAATGCAGTTACATATCTGTCCCAGTGGCTTTCTTCTTTGAAATTAGGATAGACTGCACCAATCCAGGTTTTCTTTGGATTTGGATCTCTCTCTGCCATCAAATAGTTGAAGCATCCAGTACAATGTACAGTAAACACGGTAACCTGAAAGCAAACCAAAAGGGAAGCAACACATTTTCAATAGCTAAGATACCATAAATATTATCTTTACAAATGAACTGAATCATGTTTTTTAGTGGCTTACAAAGATGAGCTTTGTGCACCGAATCCAGAAATAGTTGAATCGAATGTCTTTCTCAAGTCTGAAGAAAAGCAAACCAGGTTAATGAGTAATATGGTTCTTCCCGTGTAACTACTTAAAATTTTCAAGAAACCAAGGGGCATCTTTTGAACGTGGTAGCAGACCTTGCGAACAGGGCACTGACTCGTCTGAGACGCCAGAGTCTGAGCATGCTGAGTAGTTTAAAACCAAGTCCACTGCTATGGTCTGTTAAAAGGAGGCTAAGGGATTGAAATGGCACAGTTGAACACACATCGAAAATAAACCAGGTCATTATGTACCTGTAAGGACAAAATCATAGGAAGTTAAGTGATGGTTATCGAAGATACCTAAAGAATCTATCAGTTCTATTCAGTTTAAATAAAAAGCATAATCAAATGCTGCATGTAAACCTGATTGCTATTTTTTTGGGATCATCAACAAGAAGGTATGATTGGCTGTCTAGATAAGCAACAAAGAAGGTGAGAATTATATCAATGGCGAAGAAGCCATTGACAATGTTGTCAACTATGAAATGTGCATCCTTCTTGTATGTCAGGAATGCAAACTCGAATGGGCAAATCCAGGCTGAGTAAATGACTAGAACAATCAGCAACATCTCCCAAGCCCTGAAATGAAGAATTGAAAATGAAAATATCAGTTCTTCACTTTTTTGTTAAACTGTACTGAGTAAGTAGAGGGCAATGGTAATCATCATACCTGTAACGAGGATTGAATGGGGAAATTATATGTCTGCGAAGTTTAGTTGCGTGGTTGATTCTGGCTCCGAGGGATGGGAGGAGAATATCACTGGAAAAGATGTTGCCATGGCTATCAGTACTCGTATGGAACTCATCGACACAGCACCGTGGTAAGAAATCTTTTTTAGCACAGGAAAGCAGCATTCTACGGGTTTGAATTCCCCAAGTTACAGCAGTGTGTTAAACTTCTGCTAGGGTTAAGTTTCTTTGTAATGCTTATTTATATATAGCAAAGCTAGCTGTTGGGTGGTGGCACGTGTAACATCTCTTCTTTCTACTTCTCCTTGATCAGTGCGCTTCTTTGGTTTGCTTGGAACATATTTGGGATGAGTATGCAACTTGCGTGTCATTTTAAGGGTGGAAAAGATTTTAAGAATGGAAAAAGGTAAAAAGGGAATTTTTAATTGTGTTAAGAAAGGTTGAGAAATTAGAATGGGACAAGATTGACGAAGAAGAAAAACACGACACTAAATAGCTCTTGAAGTGGCAGACACGAGTTTTTTTCCGTAACGCAGTTGCAGAGATGACCTCTGAGAGAGAGAGAGTTACTGAAAGAAAATATGATAGACTTGTAGTGCTGATGTTGGTGTACGTTGGTGGTGATGGTGGGAGCTCCATCATCAATGAATGTTGGGGGTGTGAATGCTATACAGACAAGGCTTTTAAGGACAGATTTGAGTGAAAATATTTTGGTGTTTTCATTTCAGAGTCTAAAAATGAACCAGACAGACGTAATAAATTATGGAGATGTTCATGTTATGGATGCCACGTGGACCAATAAGAGCTTGTCTCGGTGGGGTGATACTGTACTAAGCCCGCCCCTCCCCAACAACTCAATAACCCATCTCTCTCTGTGAGATGTACAGTGGCCCATTTCTAGTATGAGGACACATTATTGTTGTAATTATTTGCCGACCAGTTGATGATGAAAGATTTAGTATTTACATAGTTTAAAGTTCAATGTTAATGATATTTTCCGTTCAATGGGCGGTTATGATGGATTCATGATTTTGATCGTCCGTGACATTCTTTTGTTCTGCCCCTATTTCAGGTCAAGAGATCGGAAATTCACAAGTTCATGAGCTCAGGACCCATGTAATTTATAAACTTAATGCTTGTATATTAATTCTATATTTTTAATATTTCATACTCTTCTTTGTCTAATCTATCTGTACATGTCTCTTTCTCACATACACACCCTGTGAAGGAGGGGGATGGCATTGGAGTTACCGGATTTGGGAGGGCCTACTGTGATCCCCGTGAGACATCCTACACTTTGGGAAGTTTGGAGAGAGAGTTATAGGACATGGACAACTAAGAGTAAGAATCTTTCTCTCTCTCTCTCTCTCTCTCTTAAAGTAATGGTTATTGTCTAAGTGTTTCCATTAACCACCACACAAGAAAAGGCCACTTGTGATCATGAAAATTGTGAAGAGAAAAAGTAATAGTACTAACTCTCTTTAATCATCAAAGAGCTCATCTTTATCTTTCTTCTTGAAATCTTGGAAGAATTAAGAAACAAGTACTTTGCTTATCTATGATACAACACAAGATATAGGAAAACTCTGATATTTTTGTCTTTGTGCCTCATGCAATAACTTTAAATCGTTAATGTAACAACTTTAAATCGAGAATGCAATAATTATGTAAATGTATAAAATTCTAGATTTAATGGTATTATAACATTGGAACAAGATGTAATGTGTTTGATATAAATGTGTTGCATAACTATTACATTGTTGTTGCATTTTGTGATGTAATTATGGTGCATTATAATGTAGTGTATTGCATTTAGGCACACGATGAGCGCACAAGACCACTTAAACAGGAGGAGATTGGAGATCTTCCTGTGCAATGGAAAATGACATTTTTTTTTTCAAAATCTCTCTCTCTTCATCCACCTGCAATGGGCAGACGGGCAGGTCACGCAGCACATCCATGTGGAGGTGGGTCAGATCAGATATCACTCCCTGGCTAGCTATCAGAGAGCTCGTCTTATATGCCTCTTTAATCTTTCTGCTCCACCAACTGAATCAATGGAATATCAAAGGCTATGATTAGCAACTCAGTGGCACAATCTAACTCGGGTCATTCCCACCTGGATCACCAATATTATATATATATATATGTTGAGTGATTCTGGCACCATTTGGATCGGCTTGACTTTTCTGCAAAAATGAGGTGTGGTAACTGGGACTAGCCCTAGTGCGTTGTCCGGCGGTACACTCTAATGATCAAGTCAGCACTTGTGTATCAAGGAACGGATTTTGTATGTAATTTTTTTATTGTTACACTCTTATCAAGTCAGTACTTGAGTTACCATTCAAAAAAAAAAAAAAAAAAAAAAGGTCAGTACTTGAGCACTTGTGTATCCAGGAGTGAATTTTGTATGTAATTTCTTCTTGTTATGTTCTCCGTTGCGATTCTGGAGAGAGATCATATCAGGAAAAGTTATTATCCTTATTACTTTAGCTCCCTTATCTATACATATCTTTGTGTGTGTGAATACTGTTAATTAACAATATTTATTATTTTCTGTATCATCACATTTTCTGTAAGGCCCTCATGCACCAGGTTGCCGTGAGACTCAAGTTTGGTACCAACTAGGAGGAGAAGATGCGGCAGCACATATACGGATGGCATCACCGACAATGAGTGTTAATGTAACAGCCATCATTTCTGCCATATAAATGTATAAATATATATAGCATATTGAAGGACATTTTCTGACCAAGACATCTCGCAAATTTGGTGCCTTGCGTTGCGGACATTTTTATTTTCGATTAATTTCATGTTCCTATTTGTTTCGTGTAAAGATGAATTGAAATGAGTCAGCTCAAATGACTGAGACTGGGACCAACTTGGACCAATCGAAATCAATTATCCGTTGTCGTGGATCCAAGGTCATGTTACTAATATTGTGGCCACACCTTGACCTAGCTAGATTCATATTACAAATTAAATGTGGTTTTCTAAGCTCTTCTCATATGATGAGGCATTTCATGCTCCACGCTTCGTTAGTGGTTGGTAATGGTTACATCCTGAGCTGGGTGGCAAAAATGGGCTCTTTATTTTTAGGGTTTTCTAAGGATAAATTTAGTTTGAAAATCTAATGACGTATTGTCATCCACTCAACACAAAACTTCAAGATCGAGATTAAATGAGATTTTAGAAAAATTATATCGTCACCCTAACAATTTTTGTTGGGTGACATGGCGTAGGTCCCTTCAAAAACATCTGTGATTGAAACAATAGCAATAGAAATAAGATTAGCATGACTTATGCACAAGCATCACATATATAAACCAACAAATAGTGCAATTTTTTTTCTATTTGCTTTTATCAAAAATAAAAATTTTGAGGGAATAAGCATTTATTTTACTTTAGAGATCTTTTATTTTTTATTTATTTGTGTGTGTGTGTGTGTGTGGTGGTGGTGGTGGTGGTGGTGGTGGTGGTGGTGGTGGTGGTTGTTTGGCTTACACAGTTACACTTAATTTTTTTGATAGAAATTATTTTTTATTTATTTGTGTGTGTTCTCTTGACTCAGTTGATGCGTTGAGTGAGTTTGCAAAAAATAGAAATGACAGAATGCAACCCAATTAGCTAAAATGTATCCTAGCATTTGTCCATCATCAATCAGCTACATATATATATATCATGGTATCGTCAATTACATTATGGAATCAAGGCAACATTTATTTATTGCTAAAGTGGCATGAATGAGAACATAATAAACTTTGTATTAAAACAATAATCAGTGTCATGATAAAGGTTTTTATCTTTTTCTTTTTCTCGTGTTTTTGTAGGTTGTCATGCAAAAGTTATATAGTATGTACTTATGCATGTAGCCATTCTAATCCAAACTATCTACTATAGAGTTCGGATCCTCTATTGTAAGTTGTAACTTCCTCTGCAATAGTAGTTATATTACTTATACTACCTGACATTTTTTAAAATATTTAAATCATATGTCAACACATTTCTTTTAAATTTCAACACAATTAATATATTAAAATATAGATCAAATGTATTAAAATTGAATTTAAGTACATTGAAAATTTTAAGACCATGGGCTCCAATAGGGAAGCGGCAGATTCAAACTCCTACCGATGAACAGGAGTAGATATTGAATGTGTCAAGCACACCCTATCATAAGTGTACCAATCTAATGAAACATAATCTCATTATCAGTATTTTTATAAGTAGGTAGATCATTTTTTTTTAAATAACGCACTATCATTGGGTGAATATACTTATGAGATGGCATGCCTAACGCATTCAATATATGGAACTGTGAGATTGACAGGTATCAAAATTTTATCGGTTAGGAACTCTTTTAGCTAGGTCAAGCACTTTTCTCTATCGATTTGACTTTTCAGTTTGGCCCACGTTTAAAACATGTCGAAAGTTACTGATGGGCCTTAGTGCATCTTATCAAAACACTTTTTTAGTGGGTTTGGTCTTGTGTATTGGGCTTAGACTCGGGTCCATTACCCTTTAAAGGTTAATAAGAGATTTTAACATACCTTCTAATTTTCTAAATATGTCAATAACCTCAACTTAGATATGTTGCTTTTGCTTATCAAGAGAATTTATAAAAGATGATATTTGTTTAACCCAATTTATAGTATCTTTTTTATGTACAAAAAAGGAAAAAAGACACCAAAACCTCTCTATTGTGGATGACCCTATTCCACCAAACCCACACACTTACAGCCCTTGGGGATAGAGAGCAAAGTTGGTTTGATTTGATAAGAAAGTGCACAACTTGCATAACCACTTGCTATGTCTCAAATTGGAAGGATTACAAAAAGTTTTCATTGGATTACAAAAAGTTTTCATTGATATGATCAAATTGCATCACTTGTATATATAAGAGTTTAAGAGTTTAAGTTGAACTATGGGTGTATGTGCTATTTTAACATCTTGTGATTCGGAATTTGAAAAGGGTTAGATGTATGCAGTTTATCTTTGCATGTGAAGTAAATTTTTTTATTTTGAACTCGTGATTGGTCACAATGAAGCAATTTTATCATTCTGATAATTATCAATATATTCAAAGTGCTTCAGCGAGATATATTCAAAGTGTTTCTATGAGATATATTCAAAATAATTATTATTGTGATTGGTCACAATAAAGCAATCTTATCATTTCGATAATTAATATATTCAAAGTGTTTCTGCCAGATATCTTCTTAGCAAGATAAAGTTTGACAATCAGCACCTAGTTGATTAGTTTTTGACTTTGCATGAGTCAGTACATGCATGATGACTTCATGACTCACTTTTTGTTCAAATGGATATGATTTTAGGCTAGCTAGACGATTGGGATGCCAACTACAAGTTTGTATCCTACGCCTTGTGCACCGACTTGGAATGGAAATAAGTACTTATGTTGAGACTTGATCGACCAAATATATATATACACACACATATACATAAATGAGCTCATATCAGGCTAGGTACGTACAACTGATAACACCACTCACTTGTAAAAGAAATTAAACACAGATAGTGCCTGGCCTTACTAGCTCACACTTCATTTTCTGGTTTGAACAACTTGCATATAGATATGTATATATTATACACACTGACACACACACACACACACACACACATTGAGAGGAGAGAGAGCTTCCAACTTTCCATTAGATAATGTACGGATGATAAGTTAAGTTGAGTGG